TAGATTTAGGGATTCGGCAGCGGGATATTGAAGGACTTTTCCGAGCCTAACTTCGAAATTTTTCCTTGGGGGCTTCTGTTGGGTTCGTATCAGTAAAGCTCCATCATTGAAGACTTGAGCGAAACTTTGAAGCCTCAACAAATTTTGCATTGATGTAGCCATTTGGCATGGATTTAGGTGTGCGGTGTAGGTACTAGCTCTGGGACGCTCCTAGGGATTAAAAGAGGTTACGGTCAGCCTTGGCGAGCACGCCAAAGCCACCGGATCACCGTGGGTACCCCCCAGGAGGCCCGTCGCGCGGCAAGAAGGCAAAGTCAGCGGACGAGTCGCGCGCGTACTAGGGATTTCGCGTCAAGTTAAACAGGAGATAAGCCGTTTGGACAGAGCGAGCACCCGAAGTAAGGCGTGAATTATATTGTTCTGCTGTAGTCACGTACAATGCGCGACGCATTGACGCGTTAAAACGTGTGCTCGCCCTCGTTTTCTCTGCGCTCTCAACGAAGAGAGAACGCGTCGAGCAAACTCGCCAACTGTACTAAGCGCCGTTCATATAGGAGGTGGAGGATGGACACACGCTCGCGCGCGGCGCTCAGGCTCCCCGCCCGCGCGGCGGAGCGTACGCTGCGACGCTCGACCATTTTGGATTGCTGCCCTGGACCGAAGGGGTAGCGTCGTTGTTGGCATGACCTTCAGAATGGCTACCGCAGAAAGCGCGTCGCTGCGAGCGCAATGTACGTGATTGCGGCAGGAACGTCGTAATTCACGCCTTACTTCAGGTGCTCGCTCTGTCCAAACGGCTTATCTCTAGAGTGTCCCATTGCACGTCCTACATCGCACACCACGCGCTGCAACTCGTCCGCCGACTTGCCTTCTTGCCGCGCAACGGGCCTCCTGGGAGGTACCTGTTCACCGGTGTTTTTGCCCGTTCGTCCCCTCTATCGTATTAAGGTTTGAACAGTCCGTGAAAAGGGTTGAATATTCAATGATCGGAAGAGCAAAAAAGATTAGACCCAATATTATTTGGTTAACAGTGTTGTTTTTTGAAGAATCGTGAAAATGAAAGATCGAAGAATCGTCAAGAAAGAATCTTACGTATTGATCAGAAGCTGGAGAACTCGTAGACTTTAGGCATACCTCAGAAAGAGCGAGATCAACCTAATCGATGTGTCTTTTAGTTATACACAAAATTGTCAGGGAAAATGTGGCCCTGCGCAATTTGACAATTCGTCAAATTGCGCAGGGCCACATATTTCTCATTAAGTAGCTCTTGAGAAGATGAGTAATTGATATTTGAATACTCACAACAGTGACAAGTATTTTGAATTGGTCTACAGCGTCTATTTGTGCTATTAATGAGAAGGATAAAAGTAAATACAATCAAACTCAGACGTTAAATTTCAGAGAGTGATGTCCGATGGCCAACAAGTGCCGAATCAAAACCAGGGCGGAGCTCCGTCGCATTTAATAGCTGCACTAATTCACGGGCGGGTCCCACGCAACAAGCAGATTCAGCAAGGAGGCGGGGGTCCGATTCGTGTGCAGTTACAACAAGGACGTGGGCCTCCGATAGTGCCATATCCACAGGGCGGTCAGCCAGCTCCACAGCAACTCCGGACGGTCCAGCAAGTATATCAACAGCCATCGAACGGTCCTCCTCAACAACGAATCGTCCATCAAATTGCACAACGCCCAATGCCGCAACCAATGATGCGAGTCAGCAGTACACCACAGCCGGCGATGCAGATCGTTCATACTGGCCCTCCACCACAACCGCAACAGATTCTATGATCTGTCTTCGTCGATTATGGACTCGACACACCACACAACCCACCCCTCTCAGATGCGACATTGCCTGGTGGTCAGCCGCCACCTCCTGGAGCCAACGTTCAGCAAATGTTAGCTCCGCCCAGTTCAACAGGTTCTGTGATGGATCGAGCGCGCATCGACGAGCTGACAAGGCAAATTAGCAGCCATACGGTAATGGACGCTGTTGTTAAGTAGTTTACTGTTTTATGACAGTTGAACTGTTTGCCTATACATTTATTCAAAATTAAATCCATGGTCAGATTTTGGCATGTAGATGTACTTCTGTTTTTTTATGCTCGAGATATTAATTTTGGTTAAATTCTAAACTAGCCTAGGTCTAGAGTGAACATTGGACTTAGGCGTAAACACGCCTCTGGTGTCAGGGATAGTTCTATGCCATATCTCTATTAGGAATCGGCGTGTCCCTGCAGGAGAGTAGAGTCATCTAATATGAAATGTTGAGCCTTCGTTGGACTAAACTTGACTGACATGGCAACCCACCGGGGGCCACTATGTTGTCGCGGGACAATGGCAACCCAATGTGGGGCACTTGAAAATTGACTTCTTAGTGCATTTAACATTCTGAACACCCAGTAATTATAAGCAAGAGTCTCATAATAATCATATGGTCTAGCACGAACTTACAAAATGTTTTCAAGAATAATTATTATAAAATTTGAAGTCTTGGTCCAGGTAGCTCATCACCATTGATTGGTTTTCACATATTAGGCCGAAGATTAATTACTAATCAGGACTTCTTCGTCTTCTCATAGCCTCAGATACAGGAAGGGGTTTGAAGTGTACCGGAAATTCTCTTGGACACTTAAACTTTTAGAGGTTTTGCCCTCCTTCCCTTTGAAACGCGAGTTCCCCGTCCAAATTTGGAATTCTCTTGAAAATAATTACAGTATGAAAGCCTAGAACTGCAGTTATAACTGGTATACTGTAAAGTCAAAAATTCTACAGAAAAATTGCTTTGAGGGACAATTTTGCCTAATTGTGAGCGAGAGTTGGGCGCGCCAAAAAGAGGCGTGGTCCCACGAGCAAGCTACGTGCAAATCCGCATTGTCGTCAAAGGGTTAACCAGGGAATGCCTGAGTGCAGTAAAAATGTGATATTGGTGAGCTCACAACATGCTAGAGGATTTTTTTGACAGAAGTATTTGAGGAAATATGAAGGGGTGAGTGTCAGGCTGCGATTCGTCCCATTATACTCATATGATCAATGTTTCGAGATAGGGCACATTGAGCTTCGCCATAGCTTCGTTCGGCAATCAGTGTACATATCAGTTTTCATCTCAACCACAAATCTCTCCAATGAACGCAACCGAACACTAAGGAATGGTGGGCTTCGTACTATGCGTCTTCCATGATGCAACATCCCCACATTGCTGTATTTTTTGGTTCCAATTTTGGGAGTTCCGTTATGAATCGACTGGAAAAGATTCCATAGAGGACACTTTGAATAATCAAATAAGAAAGCTCGCGGTTTTCAAAACGGAGGGTAAGGTTTTGAGCGATTTCGTTTAGGAATTTTGGTAGTCCCGCAGACGTATTTTCGACCGTTTGTAGTTCGGGTGTGGAATAGATACGTATTGACTGATCGCATTCTTCTTATTCTTTTAAAACGGCTAGCTTATGGGGTCGTGCGATTACACGGTCGCACGGGCTAGTCATTTCAGTAGAATAAAAAGAATGCTGATGTTTAGATTATGATTTTAACAACATTCGCTCAAGTAAAAATCATGTCATGTAGTGGCGTTTTTATCAATTCATTTGTTATTGTGTGGTTTTTAGGATATGTTATGCGAATATATCGACGAATACGTGGATGTACTGGTGAACCATGTATGTAGAATGGTCAAGCATCGTGGAACGCATCGAATAGAGGCACGTGATGTAGAATTTGTACTTGACGCTGTATATAAAATGCCGTCTGTGCCTCGAGCATCTGTTCACGTGTTTGGCGCACCTGCGTCCATTCGTCCCGATCGGATCACACCGCAGCCAACAGAGGCGCACAAGCAACGTATGCTTCTAATAAAGAAAGTTGTGAAGAAGCCATAATTGATGTCCTTTTTTGTTGACGGGTATTGTCCATATGTTGTAACCTTTGAAGTCCTCTCCGAAATCGGCTGATTATGAAACTTTAATTTTGTTCAATGGTTTTATGTGTATTTATATAGTCAGCGTCAATATTTTTGCGCCTTTTGAGCAATGTTTTCGTCTTCTTTTTCTTTTTCTTGTAAAAAATGTAACATTCGCCCGTGGTTTTGACTGTGGCAATACGATTAATTACTTATTCCTTGTTTGTTTTGTAAATAAATTATTGTCATCTTGTTTGTGTTTCATTTGTGCTGCCCACGCAGTGCGTATGTTACGCTCCATTTCGTCGACTCGTTATCTTGTTTGCCATGCCGATTAGTGCTGCGAATCACAGCGACCTTTATTGACAAACGCTCTCAGTGTTCACGGAGTTTTCTTAGTAGTTTAACGACGGTCGTCGAATTTTTCTCGCTTTTGTGATGGGACGAGTTTCTATGGCCCGCGATGAATTACCTTTCAAGAGTGGTGTACTATGCCTTCAACGAAGCGCTA